ACGGTACTCACAGTTCGAGACAAACTAGCAGATTATTTTGTAACTAATGATCCATTACCAAGGCAAGTTTGTATAAATAAATAAAAGTTAATAAAAGTACACTCACTTACCTAGTTGTTTTTTTTTTCTTGGTTTGTCATTTCGTCTTTTTCTTTAAATATGTTTACTATTTCGTCCCAACCTTTAATTTTTAAGTTACGATCGGAATAATCATTAGATGAACTATCCCATAAACAAGGACGGTTTTGAATTTCTAGAATAAAATTTTCAGTATCGAAACTCATTTTTTTCGCATCAAATGCAAATAACTATTTGAGCGAGCGTCCAAAATGGCGGCTTACTGACGACTGCGTGAGGGAGGTGCAGTTTACACGTGTAAATTATAGTGGCAACGTCGCCAGGCCGCCAGAGTAGCCAGAAGTCTCGTATGGAGCTGTCGCTTGTGGCTACGATTCCAAATTTGCGACGTTGCCACACCGTCGCCAAGTGAGTTAGGTAACATACATTTCAATATTAACTGCTTGGAGACGTAGCCGGCTACGTCGCCATGGTGCCTTAATGAGGCAGAGGCCTATTACTTTCAAACCGCAACAAAGCAGTGCATATACTGCTATTTGGCGGTAATACGTAATACGGGTAAGTATACAGACTCCTAGGCACAAAAAGAATCGTATCATTTAGCAGATTTAGAGAGATGATTACTCAAGAAACCATGTCAGCTCAAGGAGAGGAGCAAACAGAGTTCAACCATAAAAATCTTCGAGGATTTCCTCGAAGTTGTGTAAAGTCTACCAACTAACAGAGGGTGACGAACTCATCTTTACTCTTGTGGCCGTGGAAGGAAAAGGGGAGATCTCCCGCCGGGCAAAGTGTTCTGCCCGCTCCCCGGGCTCACTCCGTGTGATAGTTCGGAGATGTTCTATATATACTGTATATGATTCGGAATTTTGATAGCGTGATTTAGGCTTCGGTGTGTTTTGCTTGCGGCGTGACGACAGCGCCGCCACATCACCCTCCTGCTCAGACCGGAGGTCGATAGTGCAGTCTTGTTGTCGACGAATATTCAAGTGCCAGGAGATTGCCTTGTAGTCTGCGGTGAGTCGAGAAGAAGGCAAGTAATCTGCGAGGATGCCGTAAAGCAGAGGCGAACAGTGAGGCTCAGAGCCGTGCCGAACACTGTAGCGCAGAGACTAGCTTGAAGTGTTCCTTCAGTGTGTAGCTTGAAGGAACAGGAAGCATTATTATTCCAGTGCTGCGATGAACCTTGTGAAGCTAGATGGCTTGCAGGATACGAAGACTGCAGACGACATCTACTCGGTAGTGAATGGGTGGATATTCTATGACGATGATGAAGCTTAAAGTTTCCGAAGGTTGTTGATTGCGTGTTCAGATCACGTTGGGTGGTCACCAATGTGGTCGTAGGAGGAAAAGGGGAGATCTCCCGCCGTGCAAGGTGTTCTGACCGGGGGAGCGGCCAACACTCCGTGTGATAATTCGGAGATGTTCTATATATACTGTTTATGATTCGGAATTTTGATGTTGCGTGATGATGTGAGCGTGATTTAGGCTTTGGTGTGTTTCGATTGCGGCGCCGCCACACTCTAAAATGCTATCAGGATGAGAGCTAATACTTTACTTCTTATGGATAATTTTTTTTTTGCATACATATTTTACATATTTTATATTGAGAACTCAGTCTATAAACATCCACTTCTAGGCAAAGACCCCTCAACTTAATACTTTACCCTTACCACTCAAAGGGTCGTTGGCTCTGTGCTCGTCAACCCACAAGGTCTTTATGAGAACGGAAAGCGTAGTGGTTAGATTTATTTGTATTTAAGAAATGACGACATATATTTTAAGATTAATTAGAAACATATAAATTAACTTAAATTATTACTAAATTTGGTTTGAATTTATAAGGAGCTATTATGAATGTATCCTTTAGCGGTATAAATAAATTAATCGGTTAATTTATCTGATATCATATTTCACTACTACTATTAGTTAGTAATAACGAAATCAGAATTGTTAATATTTGGTATATTAATGTTATCATAATTCAAATCGTCTATGACTGAAGTGGGTTCAAATACCGAAAAAAAAAACCAGAGAATAAATTACATACTTCCTTGGGGTTATCAGCAAATTTGTTTTTATAAAAAATTTCTGACGGAGTTTCTAGACTGCTTTTGCAATTTGATACATATTTCCAGAAATATTTAATATTTTGCTTTACACAATTCTCGACAGTATCCATATAATGTACAATGCAAATGTTTTATAATCTGATAAATTTCCGTACTTTTTCCATTTAACCCAAGCATTATTTTTATTTTTGAAGATATGTATCAATGATGAATCAAACTTCTTAGGATAATTGCTGTTTTTTTACAGTTTTCCTTACTATATATTTGCGTATAATACCATATATTCCGTCATAAAATAAGTTCACAGCAGCTTCAGCAGAAACGTCGTCTTTCATCAAAGCCTTCCAGTATATAATGTTACTTTATTTATCAATACGTAGTCCGCACTTTCAAAACAGTAACGTGTGTGTTTAATCGGCATGCTTCGTATCTTCTCGGCAAAAGGCACTATTACATAGAATGGAGGATGATGTTTATCAGTACTTACTAATGGAATAGGGACTGGACACAATATATAGTCATTTATGTTAGTAATAAATAGATCTACAATAGCATTATTTGAATTTGTATATGTATCAATTTGTGTAAAATTATATAAGTGATATAAAATTTACGAAACTATTGCGTGAAATTGATATATCGGAAAAAAAATAGTTTCAAAATTAAGATCCATATCATTCCAATCTATAGATGGCATATTGTAGTCTCCTACTAGATAAAAATTATTACATAATTGGTATTGATTAACTATACCAGACAAATATTCTATATAGCTCAGGTATACATCACTCTTTTGGTTAGGCGCAATATAGACAGCATTTAATAGATAGAGTTTTTTGCCACCTCAAGTATTTTTTTTGCCCCCGAAGCAAATATGGGCAACTCTCCGAAAAGCGGGGGAGGGAGGTGGGGAATGCTCAGAGCATACCACGCAGCCGGCTGCGTGGTTATGTGGAGACTTTTACCCACTAAACCCCACCTTTTAGGGACTGGCTTAACGGTCTAACTAGAGATTTCTAAGCCGTATACGGACGCGACCCTCCTTGGTAGAAAGGAGTGCGCAAATCTCAAGTGTAACGTAATCTATCAGTGAACAAAGTGCGGACGCAGAGAAAGAAGTCCGGACCTCGACAGCGCTAAGCGTACGGCGTACCGTTATGAGCCATCCCCCACCGTCCCTCCGGTCTCACGCATTACGATTTCTGTCGCATCTATACACAGTATATCTGGTATTAATTAATTCGTTATCAGAAATATGCCTATGTAACCATGTTTCCGTTAAAATAATTACATCATATGCATGAGAAAGAATGTTCGTATATATGGTATGTAATTTGGTCCGAAGCCCTCGGCAGTTTTGGTAGTAAATAGACAAGCTATCCATTTTTAAATTTTAGTAATTGTACTGTTACTGAAATAATATATTGAATTATGTGTATTGTGTAACCCTATGAATAAATAGACATCAACAGTTATAATAATTATTTCCTTAAGATTACGAGTAAAAACATAAACAAAGACTATTTTGCCCGCTTTGATCAACAGCCAACTTAGTATTTTAAATAACATGTAAACAACATTCATAAGGCCCGACATACTTGTGCTTACCCGCAAAATTATAATATTAACAAATTGATATTTAATTAAATTTACCTCACAAAATAAAGTATAATAAGAGAAAGGAGAATGAGTACAAACTAGAACAATGTTAAATATTATTCGTTTGAAGTCTAACCAGTCATTGTTTAAAATAACGCTACTATTTAATCTTTTTGATATTATCCAAAGATCGAATTGCCATAGCTGGCGAGCTATCATTCTTACGCACCAATAGTAATATATATATAGTTCTTCTATAGGTATATATAGTTCCATGCTTAAGACGACACATCAAAAAGGCTATCGCCGTACTGATCCGAGTGAATACATAATTTCTATAAAAACTTGAAAAAACGTCTAAAATAGCGTAGCGCCCGCGACGATTAAAAGCGCTTGGAAATTGTCAGAATCTTAAAATATATTTTTTAAAAATTATTTATTTAAGTAATCAAAATAATGAGCAAGTAATTTACGAATATTGATGTTATGAATATATTTGATTTTTTTGTGATTCCCAAGCATATAGTTTAAGTAATTTCGTTATAATTTCAACTATAGTGATTTTTTAGAGGTGTTTTCGCAAATAATTATGATCGAGTCAAAATTATACAATCGTGTTTTTGAACAATCAAATTCAAGATAAAGACATGAATTTACCTATATCAAAATTTCACTTTCGTTAGTGGTGTCATAATCCTATACTATTCGATGAAAGGAGATGCATTTTTAACGGTGTCGCCTTAACCCACACATACTTGTATTCATTAGCTTTAGCTGCATTTCGACATTCACGAAATAATATCTTATTTTTTAATGTCAAATGCATTACATATATAGTATGCGATGGTCCCGAGATCGATAACTTCTCTGAATTTCAATTTTTACGTACACGCCAGGCAGCGAGGAAGTTGTCACGAAGAATTCTTGATGAAAATTGTACAATAATATTTTTTTTGGGCGAGAATCCTTGTGGTTAGCATGAGAAACTCGATGATTTGCGGTGATATTAGTCGAAAGCATCTTTTGGTTAACTATAGCCACCAAATTAGTTATTATATTAAAAAGATTTTCGCCTTTTTTTCAGGTAAATTTGAAATTTCAAGATTATTGCCCCTAGCCTGTTGTTCCATTGATGATAACTTATTTTCCAGACCAGCATTTCGCTCCGAAACTTGTTTCATTTTTTCTTCAAGCCCTTTAATACGGGCATCAAATGAATCTTGACGTAACTCAGAGGAACAAAGTGTGTTATCACTTATCAATATCCATAAGCTTATTGTTAACTTCCAGTAACGAATTTTTTAAAGCAGTATTATCTGAAATTAACCCGGCTACGGCCAATTGGATGTTAGTTAAGGCATCCGTTATTTTGGTGAGCTCAGTAGACAAAACAGAGCGCAACGAGTTTGTCACTAATTTTTCTATATATTTTTCGTTTAAGATATTCTTGGAAAATATCGTACTATGTTCGGATACGTCGTCCATTTCTTTGCGCTTTCTACAAGTAACGAAGTTATTGGTAGAATCGATTTCACTGTGCAGATCTGGGCTGGACATACATTTTATCTTTTGCGGAGGTGTACGTTGCATCGTAAACACGCAAGTGACAACAAAAATATGCACTTGTCTTTTGCTAGCGGAGGTGAGGTGCGGGCGCCCTTCAGATTCATGAGATACAATGCTAGACAAAGAAACAATTATCCACGTTCGATCGATCGTTACAACTTGTAGATGCTAATATATGCACCGAAAAGTTGCCGTTTATAAAAGTCAAATTTGTATGCACTTTTTTAAATAGTTCTTCAAACAACAAACTGCACGTCTACTCTCAAGGACATTCACAAACAGAATGACGGTACAACTAGGAATGTCGATCTAAAATCGATTAATTTAAAAATCGATTCTTTGGAGTAAAATTATCGATTTTTTAGATCGATTCGAAGCACCGCATCGATTCACTGAATCGATCCAAAGACCTCTTGAATCGGACTGATTCATTTGATTCAAGAACTAGCTAAAATTCCTAAACTGGCTGGGGTAAGATACCACAGTTTTTTAATTTTTTGCTGTTGGGGGACGCAAAAACAACCGGTCGTACTTGGTTGATAATTTGACCGCAATATATATTTGAATAAAACAAATATTTATGAACGCATCCAACAATATTAATTTAATTATTATATTTCACCTCCTGTACTATAATGTAATATTATAGCTGTTAACCTGTTTGAACTGTGAACTTGTGAATTTACATTATTTATTATCAAAAATGTACATACCGTGAGCAGTAATACAGACAGAGTACTTTTTAAATACCTAGATACTGTAAATAAATATTATACCGTACGTTGAAGTTTATAGAGGTTTATAGTAAGGAAATACCCAGTATTGTGTTCGTGTAGCATTCATTTCAATATGATAAATAGTGAGTTATTAGATTAAAACAGATTAATCGAGAAATCATGCAGTTTGCACTTTTGTTAAAGTATTGTTGTTGTTTTTAGCCTAAAATGTCAAATAAAACTGTTACGTGGATCACTTTGTAAAAAAAGGGATCGAGTGGAGTATGTGCGAACCACTCCTAACACAAGCATTTCAAGCTTACATACCAGGAGTGGTTAAAAGGAATATTAGTAATGTTAAACAATAAGATTACTAATATATTATTTAAAAAAATATTACAGTTTAGAAGTTTAAGAAATAAAATAGAAAATTCTTGAAATTTCATGTTTGAAAATGTCGCGATTAATCGAAAATCGATCTTTTAATCCTCGATTTAATCGATAATCGATTCAAGTACCTTCGATTCAAATCGATTCGGAGATCGATTTTTTTAAGAGTGAATCGACATGCCTAGGTACAACAATACACGAACACGGGCAGCGTGGTGGTCTTCTCCTTGCCCGAAAACCCTTCCAGAAATGAGCGAATGACCTACACCCTGTTTGGAATGTTAAAATAATATAACTTTAATTTGAACTAAAAAATTAAATACAGTTTTATAAGGTTATTATGCCCTAAATTAGGAAACATGGTCTTGCACTACTTACTATAAAAGTAAGCTTCGAATAACTCGTTTTTTTTTTTACTTCTAATATTTTTTTTGGTTTTTTTGTTTTTTTTTTTTTTTTTTTTGAGTTAGGCTGCGTGTTTCTTTTCATGTTTAAACCCGTAAGGAATATATAGATAATAGAAACAGACTAAAGGGATCGGTAAACTGAAATGGGAGTTGGGAATAAAAAAAACAACATATGGAACATATAAGATAACTTAAAAAGAAATAACAAAAAAAAGGGGATTAATCTAGTTAAAAGTTACCTTCTACTGCTATTCTTTTTTCATTCATCCATTAATTTACAAAATCAATGATTGCAATAACAAAGACATTCGAGAATTTGGTTGTAATTTAATATATTACTTTTTTTTAAGTCTCGGTTTTTAAAATAATCTTGCTTTAAAGAAATTGCACTGTCAGCTTTTAAATTTCTACTTTTTCTACAACTTAATAAACTCATCCATTTACAACCTGCTCTCGAATTAAAAAGAAAAATCCTCATAAATTCCCAACCAGCTATTTCTACGTGCTGTTGCGCTGGAAGCTAAATCGTTTTTTCGACGTTTTAATATTTATTTCAGAGCTTGCTGGTTTGATACATTTCATATCGTGGGGGCACAACATCAACTAGTTTTTGAAACAATTATCACATAGTTTATTAGTTTCTTCACTGAATACTTGACTTACTTCTGATAAGTTCATAAACTGACATACAATTCTAAAAATAATATAACTCAATCACTTATGAACTTATGATACAAAAATATAAAATGTACAGACATCTGCAATTAACATTTTTATTGCATGTATAGATAAATATGAGTATATATATATATATATATATATATATATATATATATATATATATATATATATATATATATATATTTAGCCTTTTTAGCCTTTGGACGAGAAAAGAATCAGTCCCCTTGTGTTCATTAGCGACGACCACTCTATTATTAAACTTTTTGTAATAATTATTAACAATTAATCACTGAAGTCAAGTTTTAGTTTTAAATTACAGTAATAATATATTTAAATTACAGGCATGACAATTTACTTATTAATCTTCTAATAAAAGAGATTTAATAAATAAATGACAAACGAACTAGCGGTCCACCATATGGTAAATGGCTATTGCAGCCTATGGAAACTGTAACTTCAACTAACTTTATACGAAAAGGGCTACAGATGCGTTGTCACCTCATCTTAGGAGCTAAGCCTTTGTCACAAACGAATCGAGTTTGATCCCTGGGTTTAGGTGGCTACTGTTTTGGCTCTTTGAAGTAAAATATCGTTACAAAAAATATATAATTTTTGAGGCGTGCAAATTTCATCGACAGTGGTCATTTCAAAACGGTAGCAGATTTGTAAAAAAAAATGGGTTTGGAAAACGAAATTTTATTTTCTTACGTCTAAAGAATAAATATACTTTTAATTAAAAACTCCGAATAGCTCCAATCCGAATAGCTCCGAATAGCAATTCGGAGAATTGCTGCTGCTCCAAAAACTCCTTAGAAGCGAGAGAAGCTGTGCACTGACGTGGGTTGTATTGTTTACGATACTTTATACTATAAAATGCGCATTGTACATGTCATAAAATGCCATCATCAGTATGACTACGTCTTCGTATGTCACCTTAACTTGAATAAAAACATTAATTATGTTTAACCCCTTCGATTCATAAAATACATTTCATCATCGCGACTTACTAGGAAGTAATCTCATACATCATTGTTAAATGTTTTGAAGTAAAATTAACAAGTTCCAACTTCAATAATCTTTCCGCAATTCATATCGTCCAAAGTTTTTAAGTAGAATTAAATTTATGTACTACTTCTATCTACCCCGCCAACAGCAGAGTTATTTACTCATAAAAATGATAGTTGGTTGAGTGTTGAAACAACTTCCGCAAACTCCATGGAGTTTACGATTACAACCTTATACTGCTTACACTCACTAACCTAATCAAATCATTTCTTACAACTTTTTAATTGCGTTAAAGATAAGGAATTGTCGAAATTAGAGTTTGAATGAATGATATTATTTTAAATAGAAATTCCTCGTTCAAAATTTTGATGTTTGGTTTATTAACAATAAAACAAATATGTAAATATTATTTAGTCCGACTTTTTATAATATAATTTATATATTGTGTACTACTATATACTATGTAAATACTACTACAAATATTGTAATTTGAATGAAAATGTGAAAAAGAAAGAAAAAAAATGAATTCTATATTAATTAAAATTTAAACTCTGTTTTAATATGCTACGCCCGTACAGGTTGTCACATGTTCTGTAAATATATTGTTCCAAATTTATACTTTGTGACATGCAATAAAGAATTATGAATTATGAATTATTGTAATTTTATCAAAATTTCATCAACATAGGGTTGTGAGAGTTAGAAAGTGATTGTTAAATGTGTCCAGCATAAGAAATATGTAATTTCGACCAGAATAAGCCGTGTTCAAGTGTTATTTCTAACAAAAATAGTAATAAATTGAGTGAAAAATTTATAAAAATATTCTATTTTCAGTGTTTTTGGAAAACCATTCAAGAAACAACAAATATTTGCAAGTATACAAATAAACTTTAGTAAAGTAACTATTCTACCTAGTAATTAAAATATAATCTATAAATGAATGCAAAAGAATAGTAAAAATTAAAATTTAAAACTAATACTCAAATATGACGGTTAACATTATTTGAATTAGATGCTATATTATAACATTATCAACCGTGTCCGTCGAGGTGATAGTGACTTTATTGTTTCATGCCATCTAGCGTCATACATAAAATTAATGATCTATAAACTTTCTTATCTATTATTAACAACAATAGTTGATTACATGAAAGCGTATATACCAACTCATAATTTCGTCAAAAGCAGGAAGGTCTTCGCGCCGTATTTGTAAATTCGTTGCAATATAGTCAAGAGTTCGGGCGTTCTAGTCCTTATAACTCACCCCACTCGAGACCTTCTTTTTTAAATTATTTTATTGAGAAAATTAAAATAAAATATAATTTCAAAATATTTCAATAAAATATCACTTCAAAATGTCACTAATATATTTTAAATGCAAAAATAAAATATTGGATAAGGATAATTTAACTTGTTCACTATGCAAAGAAAAATTTCATTTAACTTGCACGATAGTTTCTGAAAAAAGATTTCGCTTGATGTCAATAGATACCGAAAATGCCTTGGTTGAGCGGCGGGCCTTAAGGTTGCCGAATCACTATTCCCCGGTCGAGCCTTGACTCTTTTACGCGAGATTTTTCACTAAGTGAACTGTATACGCGGATGATGCCTAAACAAGATGGCGGATTTAGCATGCGGTTCCTTGACAATGCACTCGCTCTTCCAAAAAAAACCTATTGCTTGCCAAGGTTTAGGAAGGAACCCTGCTTGATTACATTAGGAGAAATGAAATTGGGCGGATTAACTAATAAAACACAAATACTCAAGCACGGGACGTAAATAAGGAAGCGCACTTACCGGGGTGTTACTTCGATGGGGCTTGGAC